GTGGCACTGACTGTGGCCAGGTCAGCAGATGGGGTACCTCCTTCCTTACTTGGGGAGACACTTTGGTGCCAGTGCAGAAGTTTTCTTTACCCCATCATTTTAGAGGATTACTCCAGGGAAACCTGTCCATCCATTCATTCCATTCTCTCAAGTTTTAAGAGTCATGCAATTTTAGAGCTTGGAAGGGACTTTGGATAGCATCTGATCCAAATTCCCTATTTTAAAGGTAGGGAAACTAAGACCTAGATAGAGGAAATGACTTACTTGCTCATGGCCACAGAGGTAGTCTTTGACAGTGGTAAGAACAGAACAAAATCTCTTATCTTGAAGGCCAGATCTCTATCCATCATGCCACACTGCTTAACTTTCAGATTCATAGAATTTCAAGCTGGCAAGGACTTAGAAAACTATGTAGACCAATCCCCTAATTTTATAGGAGAAGGGAATTAAGGCAGAGAAAAGTAAGATACTTTCAAGACAGCTAGTTAGGGACTACCAGAACCAGAAAACAGCTCTCTTGACTCCCAAACTGTTTTTGCCATCAGCCCCTTTTGCCCCATTCCTCTCCTCTCTTCTATCTAGGTGCTTCATCCCTGAGGAGGAGCTCTTGGGCCGCTCTCCCAAATCCCTGCTGCAGGCAGCTCTTGCTCACATGCATTACCTCCCTGAAGAGCCAGGACCAATCTCAGAAACCAACACTTACCACAAGATGTCGCAGCTCTTGCAGTACAAGGCTGTGAGTGAAGGCAGCTGGGGCTGGGGCTTGGGCAACCCTCAGGGGCCTGGCCAAGGGGGGAATTGTGGAGTTGAAGGCCTCTCTGGGAAGCAGCTGTGGGACCTAACTGTCTATAAAGAGTTCTGAGGACACATTACATCCCAGGCTTCTCAGGGGGGGCCCTCTGACTGGGAAATAATTTGGGGTCAGTATGTTCTGTTTTGCAGTAGTGTCTTAGAATTTAACCCATTTTCTCCCCAGATATCCCTTCTAGTGGGAACATTTTTCCTAGCCTCTTTCCCCATTTTATTTTTCCTAGGTCTCCCTCCTAGAGGAGCTCCTCTCTCCAGTCCTCACTCCACTTGCTCTCCTCTTTTGGTTTCGCCCTCGTGCCCTGGAGTTCATTGACTTTTTTCGGCACTTCACTGTGGATGTGGCTGGGGTTGGGGATGTCTGTTCCTTTGCTCTCATGGATGTGAAGCGTCATGGCCATCCCCAGGTTAGATCCCCTCTCTAACCCTTTTTCCTGACTTCTTTCTGCTAGACTTAGGAGATAGGGGCCCTGGCCAAGATAGTATCCATGAGATGGGGAGCAGAATACAGTCAATTATGGTATCTGTAGATATTTCAGGGTAGGAGCAGAACCAGTTCCAAGGGTGTGTGTGTGTCCTGGGTTCTGTCTTAATTGTATGACCTTGGGCAAATTGCTTGACCTTTTCTAGGACCAATTTCTTCATTTGTATAATAATAGTGGTGATTATAATTGCTACCCAACACTTGGAGGTAGATGCTATTATTGTCCCTATTTTACAGACAAGAAAACTGAGGCAGACTGGTTAAATGATTTGCCCAGGGTCCCATAGCCAGTGTCAGAGGCTAGATTTAAACTCAGGTCCTGACTCCAGGTCTCGTGTATTATCCTCTATGTGCTATGTAGCTGTGTAGTATAGTAATCTTTGCCCAGCCTACTTCACAAGATTCTCAGATCGATTGATGATTATGAAAATGCTTTGAAAAGCACCCAGTAGATTGGCAGCGCAATACTGTGGCTGAAGAGTTGGCCTTCCAGTCAGGAGGACCTAGTCCTACTGCCTCTGACATACACATGACCCTGGGCAAGTTCTTCACCCTCTAAGTGCCCTAGGTACCTAGCTCTGCTTGGCTGTGAATTGTAGAGCAATGACCTGTGGACACTGGGGGAGGTAGCTACCTTGCCCCGGTGAAGTCACAGGTGTGACAAAGAACAGTATTCAGTATCCTGTACATGTAATGGGTTATGGTTTTCCTGAAGTGGCTCTCAGCAGGACAGACAGAAGCCTCAGTATCCCAGCGTGCAGAAGATGGGAAGACAGAGCTCTCCTTGATGCGTTTCTCGCTGGCCCACCCTCGCTGGCGTCCACCTGGGCACAGCTCCCGATTCTTGGAGCAACTTCGGGGCCGGGTACAACAGGATGCTGCTCTCTGGGCTGCCACTCCAGTCCGGTCCCCCCCCACACCTGGTCAAGGTCCCAGCTTTCTTAATGACTCCACCACATCTTCAGTGAGTGCCTCCCAACCCCCCCCAATCTTCCTCATCCCAAACTGCCCCTCTCGATCTTCATAGCCAATGACTACCTACCGTTTTACCTATATGTGGCCTATAACCTTGACTCAACCCAACTGGTGGAACCCTTGTCAGTCTGTCTTCTCATGTGGAGATTCACTGACCTTATCACCCCAGCCTCCCCCAAGTACTCTGCCACTTTCCTCTTGCCTGTAGCCTGAAACACTCCTGGCCAGCCTGCTGTTACTTCCCTTTCTGCCATCCCGGGAATTGAGTCCAGTTGCTCCCTGCCCAGCTGCTGCAACTGCTAGCCTTCTGGCCTCCATTTCAGGTTCCACATCCCAGGCTGGCCACGATCAGAGGTGGGGGTGGTTACAAAGTGTGGCATGTGTTGGGGGAATCAGGGTGGACTGAAGGGAGAGGCACAAATCTGAGATACCTAAGGGAAATCCTGATCTCTTGGGAGGAGCCTGGGGAAGATGGAGGGGGGGTGTGGTGTGGAGGATCTGCCCTCTGGGAAGGATGAGACCAAGATGTCACTGTGGGGAGGTCAAAGCCCATTGGGCGAAGGATGCTGTTTGGAGGTGGCAGAGTATATCTCTCTGACCTGCTGGGCTGCCTGTTTTAGTTGTGTGTCTCCAGGGGGTCCTGGGGTCCGGAACCCTGCCCTGCTTTCAGAGCTTGCCTCTGCTGAGATGAGTCTTCATGCCATTTACCTGCATGAGGTGAGCTGGGAACAAGGTAACAGAGAAGGGGCTGAGAGTGGTGTGTGTGGTGGTAACATGTATACAGGTTGAGGGGGCAGAACTGCCTGAGGAAATGTGTGTCTGGTGTGGTGGGGGAACCAGAGCTGCCCCTCCACCCTTCAGTCTCCCTGTAGAAACTGAGAGCTTCTGTGCCTGAAGGGTGGGGTCAAGGAAAGAAGCCAACTAGTGGTGTTACTCATGCCCTCCCTCCACCACTCAGCTCCACCAGCAGCAGCAGCAAGAGCAGTGGGGGGAAACTTCAGCCACTCCACTCCCGAGAATCTGGCCCAGCCCCCAGAGGCCACTCACCCCTGAAGATGAGACCCTGATCTGGCACAGTGATGGTAAGAACCTAGCAACTGGGAAAGATTCTTGGAAAGGAGGAAGCATCATGATACAATGGAAAGAGTCTGCGTGCTAATTCTGTCTGTTGCTTTTTACTTGTGTGATCTTGGGCAAATCACTTCACCTCTATGGGCCTCAGTTTCCCTGTCTGTAAAATGAACACTGGGTAGCTTTTGAAGTCCCTTGCAGCTTTAGGTCTATCTGAATTCTATAGGACTGATGCCTTCTTTTCCCAGGTACCTCTAGCTCCAGCTCTAGCCCCAGACAACAATGGGGGCCCACAGGAGCCAGTAATCTACCCCTTGGGGGTTGGCAAGAGGAGGGCAAGGTTCAGAAGGAGCCTGAGCTTAGTCCCAGCAGTGGCTGAGAAGTCAACCAATGTGGTCAGTATTGCCTGGGAAAGACAAGACAAGGGAAATGAATAGTTAATGGAAAGAGGGTGGTATGGTAGGGGTTATGAGGACCAGGGTAGGAGGATAAATGGGGGGGGTAGGGCAAGGGAGGTTTTCTTTGGCTTTGGGGCACCTGGATACCCTGCCACATGTCATCCTTTCCTTTCCCAGGTTCTCTATTTCAGTTAGGTGAATGAGGCTGAGAAGACAATTAGTCTTCACCTGCTTGCTCTTATGCAAGCCGTCATAGCTCATATACCACAGGTCAAACCTTGGTGGAAGTTGGCAGGCCCTTTGGGGTGGTGGGAAGTTTGGAGCTAGCCCCAGAAAACTGAATGAGGGTATGGGCGGGTGGGCACATGGTGAGAAAGTGGGGGAATCCCCTGACACAAGATGAAAGGAAGGGGGAGCAGGAGATACCTCATCTAGCACCAGGCAGATGACACCTGACTCTGGCAGTGAGCCAGGAGAAGCCCCATTTTCATTACCAGACTCTCTTTGAAGGGTGGATCACAGGGCAGGGTCATGATGGTCTGACAGTAATCAGGCACTAGCCAAAGGGAAGGGAAAATCAAGCTAAGGAGGCCTTAAAGCTCCACCTCTCCTATCTGTTTCCTCCTAGATTGATGGGACTCAGTGCTGGGGGTAGGTGGGAAAGGGTGTGTTGGCTTCAGCCTGCTCTTGGAGGCTGAGAGTGAGGGCAGGGAGCTGGCCCTGTAATAAAGCACCAAAGGTTTCTGTTGTCTCTGTGGCTCTGTGTCCCCAGCCCGAAGGAGGCCCATGGCGCCTAGTGACAGCCCCAGCACTGGCCGACAGCCTCGTCGTAGTGGAGAAGGCTGGGTCAGGGTGCACGGGAGCAGCAACAACTGTCCCTGGGTTTTGTAGGGACCGGAAGGCTCCCTGCCTAGCTCCACACCTGCTAGGCGATGCCCACCATTCATGGGAGACAGAGCTTAAAATATCCCCGGAGGAAGAGAACCTGAAGATTTTGTTTCACAAGGTGTCAAGGACGCCTAAGCTGGAAGGGGGCTTAAACCCATCTGGGCCAGTCCCCGCCTGATCCAGAACAGGCACCCCAGGTTCAGTGAAAAAGGGGGAGGGTCAGTGGACGGGCTGGGGCCTGGGTCTACTTGCCCAGGAGTCTTGCCGTAGAAAGGGGGCGACACGCGCTGCACCCTCCCCACCCCCCCAGCTGAGTTGGCGCTTCCAGGCCAGGCTCCCCACCGGCCCGGGGTTCGGGGGTAAGGCCGAGGCAGAGCTATCAAAACTAGAGACTTTAATGGGAGCGGGCAGGCCCTCAGGACTCAGGGGTCTCCGGGGTGGGCTCGCTAAGGGCCCAGGGAACGGCGCCCCGCGCCTGCCGCTCCTGCAGGGAGAAGCTCTGCGTGCGAATGCGGTTCGTCACCTCCTGCGTGCGCAGCGTCAGCCCGAAGATGTCCTCGTGGTAGCGCTGCTGGTCCTGCGGGAGGCCGCGCGCTCAACCTCGGGGCCAGGCCGGGTGGGCCGTGCCCGCGCCCGCGAGCGCGCGTCCCCTGAGCATGCCCGCCCCAGCCCTCGGCCCGGCCCCGCCTCCGCCTCGCTTTACCCGCAGCACCCCGATGACGTCCCCGGCCTCGCTCAGCTCCATTCCGCCCTCCGTGGCCAGGATTCGTTGCACCGTCTGCAGGACGCTGGTAGCCATGGTGACGTCACCGCAGACGAACATGTGGCCGCCCTCGAGGCACAGCACGCGGTGCACCTCGGAGGCCAGCTCTGTCCGCAGTATGTCCTGCACATAGGTCTGGGGGAGGGGGGCAGGAGCCCCAAGGACGCGGATGGAGCCCTGCTTCCACCCCCTTCTCCTCCTTCCCTCCTCTCTCTTGTCTTTACTCCGATGCCACTTTCTCCCTTCTCCCTGCCCGTTTACCCCTTTTCTTCCTTCTCTTCTTCCTCTACCCCTTGCTTCCACTCTGCTTTCCGCCTCACTTCACTCTCTCCTTTCCTTCTCCCTTACTCTTCCTTTTTTCTTCATTCTCATTATCTCTACCATTTCCCCCTTTTCTTCAGTTATAGCCACCTTTCCTCCTTTTATCCCCTCTTTTTTGTCCTTCCTCTATCCCTTTTCCCACTTTCCCCACATCTTTCCCCTCTTTCTTGCTCTTTTCCTTTTCCCTCCTTTTCTCCCCCTTTCCTTCCCCTTATTGTTTCCCTTTAATCCTCTTTCTCTCCCCTTTTTTCCTCTCTTTTCATTCCTTTCCTTTTCCACCCTTCCTCTCTCTCATCTCTTTTTTCTTTCTCTGGTTCCTTCACCTCTTCTCTCCACTTCCCTCTTCCCTTCCTTTCTTCTTTCTCCTTTCTGTTCCTTTTCTTTTTTTTCCTGCACCACCACCTCCCTCCCTCCTGGCCCCTTCCAAACCTTGGGGCTGTCAGGTTCTCTGGAAAAGGCTGTAAGGACTCTGCCAAAGACTCCTCGATACTGGGCATCCTGCACCTCTTCTCGGTAGAGGTGATCAAGCTGGGAACAGCGGCACCCGAAGACCAAGGTCATAGGGGCAGGATGCATTCCTGGAAGCAACATATTGCTAGGAAGGGGTCTAGCTCTGTCCATAACCCCCACTACAGATGTTGCTTTTTCCAGGCTTCTGCCCATTGCTGTCTCACTGTTCTCACCCAGGCTCTTTCTTGTCTAAAGTCTGCAGCTCCATCCTGGCTCCCAGCCCTACCTTCTCCCATTTTCTTAGGCCTCACCTTTGTTCTCAATGTCATGTAACCGCTCCTGCCAGAATCCACGGAATGGTGCAATGCCTGTGCCAGGTCCCACAAGAATACAGGGTACATTAGGGTCAGATGGAAGGCGGAAAGATGGAGCCCTGAGTGAAAGACACAAAGTCAAGCTTCTGCTTCACCAGCTGTCCATGGACTCCTGCCTGCTAACAGAAGGGCTGACTGGTGAGGCTGGTGAGCTAGGAAACAAGGGAGTCCTATATGGATCAGACTGGAAGCCAGTACTACTAATACTAACTGCCATGAATATTACTAATTCAGGTCTTAAGGCTGGCTTCAGGAACAATGGTCTCCTTCCCTGGGCTTTGTTCTGCTTAGGGGGACAAACATCAGTCGGTATAATGGGAGGTATGCTGAATGAGGAAGTTGGAAAACCTGGGCCTTTATCTTGTCATTACCTAGCTGTGTAACCTTTGGCATTTCACTTCTCTGGGACTTTTTTTTTTCTCATCTGTAAAATGAGGGAATTGGACAACATGATGTCTAAGGTCCCCCATCCATTAAGGTTCAATGGATCTGTGAAATAATAAATCATCTGACTTGGTTTGGAGAATATTTCAACATTTTGGTTTCGTTCCAGGTCAGGGTTTTAGCTCCAAGGTTCAGATCTGATTCACACTGGTTTCTTGGGTGGTTTGGTTTTGTCTTTTTTTTTTTTTAAGTGTGGTATGTGATAACCTTTGAGGTTCAGTGAAATCCATTCTATTTGGATTTGTTTCAAGATTACACAAGTTTGTTCATTGGCGTACTTCACAGATCAGTCTTGTGCCCCTGATAACCTGGCCCTGCTTTGGTCATCCTGGGAGCTGTCCTAGGTCTCACTTTCAAACATGCATTTCTGGAAGCTGGAAAATGGGGCAGCATTCCTCATTGCCAGGAAAAATAAGAGAGGCCTGGGTTCTTAATCTTGGTATACTAGCTGGAACTATTATGAAAAGCAGTTATCTGATCCAGACTTGAGTGGGCAGTGGGGGTGGGGGAGGTGGGTATGGAGATGGCAATTTTCAGGATGCAATATGTTTTGCTGTCCTGGCTTTAGGCTGTATGTAGAAATTTGCTTCCTGGGAGCTGCATTTTGGGGTTGTAAGTAGGGACCGGATATTGGAAAGGGAATCAGGCTATCTGGGTCCTTGTCTTGCCTTTTTTTTTTTTTTGGTGAGGCAGTTGGGGTTCAGTGACTTGCCCAGGGTCACACAGCTAGTAAGTATCAAGTGTCAGGCTGGATTTGAACTCGGGTCCTCCTGACTCCAAGGCCAGAGCTCTAACCACTGCGCCAGTTAGCTGCCCTCTGGGACCTTGTCTTGGACTGGCTCAAATAGTAAGTACCTCCTCACCTTCAGCTTATAATCTTCAGTGCTTCCCTTCAGTGTCCCTTCCCTCTTCCCCTTCCTTCTATGGTGACCCACTCTGCATAGTACACAGAAAGAACTCTGGATTTTGAATCAGAAGACCCAAGCTCAAATCACATTTCTGCTGCACAGGATCTTGGGCAAGTCAATTTCTTGTCCTCAGCTTCTTCTGTGAAATGAGGGAGCTGGACTGGGTAATACCTAAAGTCCTCTCCTGTGAATCTCACCCTCTGATGAAGCAGGGTACCACATCTCCAGACTTGAGCTGACTTAACCACGAGGAGCACACCCCATAGTGCAGGGGGCCTAGCCCATCTGGGGGGGAAGGAGAAGATAGTATTGGTAAAAGAGACAGGAAGAGACTCCCAGCTTTCGTTTCTGGGGCCTGCTTATATCTCCTCCCTGCCCTTTCCCCTCCTAGGCCTCACCCTGTGTCCGGTATGCCAGCACAGCCACTGTAAGGTGGATCTCCCCAGGGTGGGCGCTGGGTGCAGAGCTGACTGAGTAGTACCGCGGCTGGAGCAAAGGCAGCTGGGTGAGGAGCAGAGGTGCTGGCAGCGCCACCGATGGGAACTGCTCCAGCACCTCCAGGAGGGTGGGGCAACGGAACCATTTCCATTCCTCATAGCGCCGAGCATCCTGGGATGGGGGTGGAGAGAGACACTGGGGAACCCTACGCCTTGGGCACCCCTTAGTCCTGGCGGGCTGACACGTCCCTCTTCCTTCCTTCCTCTATGACTGGTCTTCCCATCTCTTACCTTGCTAAGAGCCTCCAGCTCTTGCTGCTCGCTGGGCTCCTCTGCCAGGGTGCTGAGCAGGCGCAGGAGCTGAGGCCCTGGTGGGGAGGTGATGTCCAGGAAGAAGGTGAGAGCCTGTTGTAATGTGCACGAGGGCAGCCGGGGGTCCCGGACCCAGCCTGGGGGTGGGCTGCCTGAGGAGAGCGTACAAGCCCGTAAGAGAGGTGTGGGCTCGGGAACCTGCAGATGTTACCTAGCTTGCCTTCTCTATGGGAACTGGAGTGTCTTTAGGGATAAGGGATCTTCCCTTCACAAAATGACTGGGGATGAAGGACTAACCACAGACCAGGAGCCTGAGTTTTCTGAATTAAGATGTAAATTTAGGCACAAGAATCAGCATAGAGTAATGGATAGAAAGCTGGCTCTTGAATCAAGAAGTCCTGCCTGTGTCCCTGAGCAAATTGCTAAACCTCTCAGTAACTCTAGGCAAAAAAGGAGCTAGATATGCAGTAAAGGACAGGGAACCCAGCTGGAAGAAGTCTTCTGGGACTACTCTGATATTTCTGTAGCAACCAAAGTTTACAAAGTCCTTTATATACCTTATCTTATTTGATTCTCGCACTAACCCTCTAAAGTAGGTATTATTGTTCCCATTTTATAGATGAGAAAATCAAGGCCTGAAGGTTCGGTGATTTTTCCATTGTGGCACAGCACATAAGCAATGAAGATGGTATTTGAACTTGTCTATCCTGACTCCAAATCCAGATCTGTTTCCAGTATACCACAGGGCCTTGGTCAGTTGACCCGACCCCTACATCCTTTACCAGGAACAGGAGAGAGCACTGGTGGGTGTGATAGATGTGGCATCTTCAGTGAAATGCTCACACACTAGTAGTGCCCACAGGCAGTGTTTTTCTTATTTTCCTTATTTTTCTTCCCTGACCTTGTTTTCCCCCATTGTGAGTGGCAATTCGTGGCAATTGTGACTATACCATGAGACCCTTTGGCAGAAGGCTCCAGGAAGGGAAAGCTACTCAAGAGACTACTTACTAAACTTGGCTTACTTTTTTTTTTTTTTGGAGTGAGAGGCGTCCTTCAAGACAGATTTTGGGAAAGAAACCCATTCTAATTCCAGAAGCTATACTGTTCAGAACACCTGAGGTCAGATCACATTTGCTTGATTTGGTGTTCATTCAATACAATTATCCAGACATTAACTAAGTTTGTACCATGTGCGAGGCACCTGGGCCATCTCCCCCACTCCTCCCCATGTACACTCCCCCCTCCAGCTTGGGCTCTGTAACTTCCCTTTTATGCTTCAGCATTCCTTTAGTTTCCTAGGAAAGATGCCCTTTCAAAGGTGTCCACCTGCTTATATGTGACTAAGGGAGTGGCCCATTCATGTTGGTCGGAGAGAAGGGTAGCAGCAAGAGCAACCAGAGGGTGCTGGACGAAGGAGGTGGGGGCCTTTGCTACATGTTTTGTCTCTAATGTGGAATGTTGAGTGAGGGTACCTTACCTGGGCTCCCCTTTTCCAGCTGCTCCACAGCGATGGGCTCACTGGGAAGGGGTGGATCCTCTACACGGCTCAAGAGGGCTTCCACTAGGCCAGGCCGGTTGGGGGGGCAGATCCCAATGTGGTCCCCGGGCTGATACTGCAGGCCCTCCTGCCCTCCTGTGGCCAGACGCACCAGGATTGTGGCCCGGCTGATGGGGGGAGGGAGGAGAGCTTGATGGGGGTAGTTGTCTTAGGAAGGGATACAGCAGGGAGAGGGATGGTTTTGAGTAGAGTGCTTTGAGGACTCCTGGAGGAGCATAGGAGGGAATCTAGAGGGTTAGAAAAGAAAGGAGGAACTCCTCATGGTTAAAGGAGTAAGGTACCAGTCAGCCAGGTGAGGGGGTAGGTGGGATGGGGTCAGGTTGCCCTTACGTTGACTTGCTGCTCTGCAGGTTTTCCACTGAGAGAACAGTGGCTGGAAACATCTTCCGCCTGTGTACATGTATAAGGCCTGGAGGGCAGAGAGATGCGGCCTGACTCAGGGGCCAGAGAACGTGGGATATTGGGGAAGCATGGCAGTAAGATATGAGGGGCCCTCAGAGCTCCAAGGTAGATTAGGAGACCTCTGGAAGGATTAGTGGAGCTCAGGACATTACCTGGCAGCAGCTGGAGCCCCTCAGGCTGGGCACTCAGACGGTATCTTTGGCGTTTCCAACTTCTCTTGGGGCTGAATATGTCCCGAGCAGCAGCCTTGGCATCGTCGCCCACACAGAAGGTCTCACAGGAGGCCTTGTTGGGCAGAGAAAGAGAGAGGAGGAGGCCAGTGAGAAGGACTCCATTGGCTCAGAGAGGGAGCTCCTAAAGGGAGGAGAAGAGAGAAGGATAGTGGTAGAGACAAGTTGTGTTTATTGCAATTTAGGATTCTGGCCTTCATTTCTTGGGCCTTTGTCTAGGTCCCGATCCCTGTTTGGAATAGGAAGTCTCTGTAAAACTAGCAATTTAGCAGTTGAAAGCTGAGGGTCCAGCCCTTCTAAGGATGAATTTCATGGCTTGGCATCAGGGCCTGGAGTTGCCTTGGGTTGTTTTCTGCTCTTCATCTGTTTCTTGTCTTCTCATCCATTCACTCGTGGATGTTAATATAAGTTCCTGGAGCTCAGAGGTCTTGTCTTCTCTTTCTCTGGCTCCCATAACACAGGGACAGGAATGTCATAGTAATTCGTTAGCTTTGTTGAATGAAGGAGATAAGATGGGCTGAGTGTGTGGTGGAGAAAGAAAGATGAATTCAAGGCAAGATGGGAAGAATGTGATGAGATTGGCATCAGGGATAGAGATGTCTGTGGCTTATGGTGCCTTGGCTCAGAAATCATTGGTTGTCAGGGGGTTAGATTTCAGATTTGGGATAGAAGTCAGAGATGAGCATCAGGTGGGAGGTTGGGGGTTCACCTGGAATGCAGCTTGGGCCCAGCCCTGGAAGGCCTCTTCCTGGCCACATAATTCATCCCCCTGGCCCAGCTGCAGTAGCCTCTCTCCTCCTAGCTCTTCCAGCCGTGTATCTACTGCCCGGGCAAAAGCACAGAAGTGGGGGTAGGCCCGGGAGCCAAGGCCAAACACACAGAACCTGCAAGGAGAAAGAGGGAGGCTCAGAAGGACATCTCTCTCAGTTTCCCTGTCCTTGATTCTGAGAATCTTCAGGTCTTTCTGACCTTCCAGGTCCAACCCACTATGGGTGCATAGATGTGAAGGTCCTCAAAGCCTCAATATGGTTCCCTTCTCCAAGGTCCCTAGCCCCCTGACCTTAGAGTTCCTAGAGCTCCTGCACTGTCTGTGTTGCTGGATTCTTTCCTCTTTCGCCGCCATGAGGACACCAGCGTGTCTGAGCAGGAGACGCTGTTGAAGCGAATCTTGTAGCTTCTGAAAAAAGAAGCCCAAGGGAAGGAGGGATATCACAGAGTGCCCTGACACCCCGGAGACAGCCACACAATGGATAACACAGCCTGATCCCAGAGACACAGCCAGAGAAGGGTGGCAGACACAGAAAAGGGTGACAGACATAACCAGAACTCAGAGACACATGCAGAGAGCTAGTCCCTGGGAGCCTTCACCTGCCTGGGATGGGAGAGGCCCTTCCCCTTGGTGCTCAGCTCAGCTCTGAGGGTCAGAGCCCTGGTTTATAGCTCAGGCACCCCAGTGGGCTTGACCTGAAGATGTTGGCCAATGGACTTGCCCCAGAGCATCCCCCTTTCCTCTCTTTGAAGGTGGCTTCTGGATTGACCTGACTTCCCAGGGTCTTTCCACCTTGGGACTGGAATGGATCAGGCTTTACATGGGTTGGGGGCATGTTGGTCCCAGCTAGGTCTGTTTTCCAGAGCTGATGGCTCACTTCCAGTAAGTAGCATTCCATTGAACGAACAACAGGAAACTAACATTGGAGGGAGGGAGATGCAGGCCCCCTTTCCTCCCATCTACCCCAGCTGGTTTCCCACCCTGTCCTCCAGTTTCTCACTTGTGCTGCTCTGGTCTGGGAGAGCTGTTGTAGGGACCAGACATTTCCATCAGGGCGGCTGCAAACCTCTGTGGGGATGTGAAGAAAATAGTTTACCTGTTTAATATTCATGTTTTGTTCTGTTTAAGATTATGTAGAAGGAATAAAGATCTGGCCCTTTTCAAAAGTTGACCTTGTATTACTTTTGAGAAGAAGTTCACAGGACAGAAATGAAGGAGAGAGCTGAGATCAGACACAGAATTAGACAGCTAGTAAGAATGGCTTGTACCCAGAACTTAACAATGATAATGATGGTGACAAGTCACATTTATATAGCTCTTCACAGTTTACAAAACACTTTTCTCATAACCCCATAAAGCAGGTAGTACAAGTATTATTATCTTTATTTTACAAATAAGGAAACTGAGGCTTTGAGAGGTGGTGACTTAGCTGATAACACATCTACTAAGTGTCAGAACAAGAACTTGAGTCTATTAAGATTATCTGTTGCTTAGAATAAGTAGGCAAAATATGTTAATGAGGTGTTTAACATTGGAACACCAGCCCTTTGGTCATTAGCCATAGTACAAGCTGAAAGAGATCTAGGAGGCAAAAGCAGTGAAAATGACTGGGGGGCATCCTGCGAATGGAAGAATGCTGGAGAAAGAACTGATAACAGCTAAGATCGTAACAAGGTACTCAAAATTGGTACTTAAGAGTCTTTTTTAAAAATACTTAAACCATAGGTTGTATTTCATGTTAGAAAGTAGTATATAAATTTAATGTATGTCCTATTAAATAAACAGTATTTTTCTTTTCTAAACAAGCATGAGGGATATCCACGTCTTTGATTTCTGTGGTTATCTGTGCCTGAAGTAAGTCTGATCACTATGTCTGTATGCCCCAAATGAGGTACACTAATTACCCCAAAGCATAGCTATTAGACGGAAAGGCAGGGTATCGGGAAAGAATTTCAAAGCTTTTCTAGGCTCTGACCTGAACCATTAGCTTTTTTAAAGTCATGGCAGTTTCACAGTGGGAGTCACTGGTCCCTGTGTGTGTGTGTGTGTGTAGATGTGGGTTGGACATAGGCTCAAATGATGTATGTGTGTAAGGAAACTACCATGACATTCCTATCCTTTTTTTAGACTTCTTTTTCTAACGACTTTGCCAATCCTGAGTCCCCCACCCCGCTTCATTTCCTAAGGGTCCCTCTTTCTTCTTGGTCCTCACCTCTCCATTTTCTGGAGGGTCTCCATTCCCGAATGTGCTGGTGACCACCAGGACCAGGGTCTCGTGCTCCAGGGACACCACATCATATTCATCCATGCAGAGGACCTGTGAGGATGGGGGAGGGGGGGTCATGTTATGGGAGAGTTATCTTCCTACTCCAGCCTCCCAGCTGCTCCCCTTGTCCCACCTCTTCTTATTTTGACCCTCTCTTCTGTGACCTGAGCTAGATATGAATCTATCCCCTCTGACTTCCCAGTGTCCCAGGCCTTCAGTACTGTCCTGATCCTCCCTGGGTTTGATTTCACCCCTCTCTGGACTCATGCTATCTCCCAGCTCCTCCCCCTCCCCCTTCCAGCTTCCTTCAACCATCATTCCCCCAATGTGTCCTGGCTCATCTATGTATTTCCTTTGATTCCCCTCCCCACTCTACTCAGCTTCCCTCCCCTGCTTGTCTTAACCCTGCCTCCCCATTCTGTACCCGAGGGTCAAAGGCTTTCCGGAACAACCTCCCCAGCTGCTGAGCATAGCTCTGGGCCCGACCAGTTTCTGAGCCATACAGAATCGTTGCCTTCACCCGCTTTGCCATCACTGTGCCCATCAGGGAAGCTGAAATCTTCACTGCACTGATGGAAGGTGGGGATTGGAGAAGGAGTGAGCAGAGTTCTCAGAAGGTGTGGTGATGATGAAGGGGAGTTAGACAGAGAGGTCGTAGAGGCAGAGGGGTCTTTGGAGGGGACCACTGTGGAATGGGAGTCATTGGAAGGAAGGTCCCAGAGTTGGGGAACGTGGGAGTGGGTAGGGAGGTTGTGGGAAAGGCTCCTTGGCTGGCTGGGGGGGAGTGGTGTGCATAGGGTATTTGTGGGCCTGAGGAAGGAGGTTAGAGATTGCATACTTGGCCACTTCCTTAAAGGTTTTTTTCCTGGTGATGCCAGTTCCTTTTGTTGTTGTCCCCTTCCACGGGTCAGGCTAGAGCAGAAGTAGCAAAGGTCAGTGCAGGTGACCAAGGTGAGTGGGCAGTCAGATGAATGGGTACTGGGATGGGAGACCTAGACACCTGATAGCGGAAGGCTGGGGACAGGAAGTAGTTAACCATCTCCTGGTGAAAGACTGGGGTGAGGCTGCCGGAGATTGGGGGCACAATCCAGACCCAGTCAGCAGGGCAGCCGCCTCGTGCCCGTTGTTCATTCTCCAGGTGCTTCATGAAGGAGGCTGTGGCTGCGTGGTGATCCACAATGGTCACTTTGGCCAGCTGGGGGAGAAAGGAGGGCCTCAGGACTCACATTGAGGCAGAGGAAGAAAGGAGTAGGAGGGCTCCCATCCACCTTGCAGCTCCCCACAAGTCCTGCCTTTGCTGCTAATAGGTGCCACCTCTGTATCTGCTCCCCACAGACTATAATATCCATTCTGTCCTATTCCTTCTGTACTACCATAACCAATGGGGTAACCACCCAGGGTAGCCTCATTTTACATATAGCCTTTGCTCCTATAATTCAGTATACTTGTACCAAGTCCCTCAGGATACTTAGGTGCCATAGATAATGTTAGACTTGAAAATAGGAAGACCTAGGGGCAGCTAGGTGGTGCAGTGGATAGAGCACTGGCCCTGGAGTCAGGAGGACCTGAGTTCAAATCCAGCCTCAGACACATAACACTTACTAGCTGTGTGACCCTGGGCAAGTCACTTAATCCCATTGCCTAGCCAAAAAAAGAAAATAGGAAGACCTGAGTTCAAATCCTGCTTCAGATACTTACTAGCTGTGTGACTCTGGGCAAGTCACCTAACCTCTCTTAGCCTCCATTTCCTCATCTATAAAATGTGGATAATAGCACCTCCCCCGAAGGTTATCATGAGGCTCAAATGAATTAACATATGGAAAGAGCTTCGAAAACTTTAAAGTACTATATAAATGCAACCCAAGATATGAACTATTATGTGTTGCCTAGAATAAATGCCATCAAACTCTAACCAGCATGGGTTGTGCCCTCATAGTACATAGAAAGCAATAGGTCCTGCAAGCTATAACTCAGCGTGCTGGGCCTGTAGACTACTGTGGTGCCTTGTGTGAGTTTTTGGATTACTTTTCCCAGGATGCATTATAACATTGTGCCACAATTCTTATCACCCCCATTTCCTTGTACTGTGGTTTCCAGTACTCATTATAGTGCTGTGACTATAATTTCCAGGTTTCAGTGGGGCACACTCCCTCAGCTCCCCTGAGAACGCTTAATTGGTTCCCTCCCACTTCCAACCCCTCTTTCCCCATCCTCTTCTGCTTCCCTACTTGGTAGCTGTGCAGCACTGCTAGGTTGATCTCCACAGCTGCCTTGTCCTTCCACAGAGAGGAGGTTGTCCGGGTGTCTAGTTCCATGCAGACGGCCACATCCTGGGAGCAGGGGTGCATAGGAGGTTTGGTAGGGGGCAGGATGGGGAGACAGTCTACCTCTGTCCCTAACCTCTTAACAGGAGTGAGCCTAGAGAGTTCCTCCCTTGGAGTTCCTGGCTAAGACAGCAACACTCATTGGAGAGAGAGCTAGCTAAGAGACAGCCTGAGATATATGGACATTAGTAGGTTTGAGGTTGGCTTGACTTTTTCTCTGTAAAGGAAGCATAGGAAGGGGAAATTACTTTGATCCCCTTTTCCCCCTCCAAAATCCAGTCCCCATTTTTCTTCGTTTTCTCAGCATTCTTCCTTGCTTCTGGACAGGTGGGCCAAATAGGTGTAATAGAGTTCTGGGGTTGTGTCCCTCCTTCCTAGCCTTCTCTCTCTTCTAGATCATAATGGTACCCTAGGGACTTTGGCTGGCCCTTGGCCAAGCCCTCACCTCAAGGATGTTGTATCGGTGAGGGTCGCACAGGTTGCGCATGCCAATCTCGCTGCTCATGTACCAGCCACTGAAAGGCACTGCGGGGAACTCCAGTCCTCCAATCTCCAAAAGCATGTTGGACACAGCTGGGAGTGCATACCAACGTAGGCCCAAGGACTCGAACCACTCCAGCCTGCCAGGTGTGGGACGAGGGTGGAAAAGAAAGGCATGGGGACCCCACAACATATCCCCAGGTAGCCCCATATCTGACCTCCAGCTCTGACTGAGCTGCAGCTCAGTCTAGGATGGTATCCATCCCCACACTGTCAAGACTTCAATCTCATTTCCTCCATAGAACTTTCCTTGATCCCCAGTAAAGCCAAGTCAATAAGCATTTATTGAATGCCTCCTGTGTGCCAGGCTCCATGCTAAGAACTAGGATTACAAGAAATGCAAAAACAACCCAGAAAATCTCTTCTCTGTTCTAATGATAAATAACCCTTCTCTTCGCGTGGGTAGGAATTTCACGGAATTAGTGTCGTTTGTGTAATGTTTGGCTTCATTGTAAACTTGGCCATCACTCAGAATGTGTGGAAGTGAGTGAAGCCCACTTGGGAGATCTCCTATGGAGGATTTGTAGGACTCAGACAAAACGGAGAGGATGAGAACTCATGGATTGGTTGTGATCTGCCCTGTAGGAGGAAGCATCCTCATTGATGAAATCACCCACATACCGGTCTAATTACTGTTCCCTGTATGTGACATTCCATCTCCTGTCCTTTTGTCCTGTATACCCCCTGTCACGTCTGTCAGAAGGACCTCCTGTCCTCTCTTCTGCCTCTTAGTATCCCTAACTTCTGTCAATTCTATTATCAACCATCCTTTTATTAAGCCCTTACTATATGCCACTATATGTAGCCAGGTGATACAGTGGACAGAGTGTTGGTGGCTACAGATGCTATCTGTATGACCCTGCACAAGTCTCTTAACTCTGTTTGCCTCAGTTTCCTCATCTGTAAAATGAACTGGAGAAGGAAATGGCAAACCACTCCAATGTCTTTGCCAAGAAAACCCCAAAATGGGGTCGCAGAGAGGTGGACACAGCAGAAACGACCGAACAAAAACAACAACGACAACCACCGTGATATGAGGTCAAGAAAATCCCATGGACAGTATTGGTGTGCTATGGTCCGAGTGGTCATGGACAGTGGGACACAACTGAACAACATACCAGGGATGCAGTGACACAAATAGTACAGAACCTGCCTTCAAGGAATTAACGGTCTAGACAGAGGAGACAACATGTACGGAGAGAGGCATAAACAAAACAGATACAAGAAGTTTGGGGGGCAAGGGGCACTAGCAGCTGGGGGACCAAACTTCATGTAGGAAGCTTCACCCCAGGCCTTTGTGACCCCCGAAGTCCTTAGCACTCTTGCGCCCTGACATTATTGTGTACTTTTGTAGTTTGTATTTATTTACCTCTGGACATCACCGCATACCCCCTTGTGGTTAGGGACTTTAAAATATTTGTCTTTGTATACTTGGGACCCAGAACGGGAGCCTGGCAGCGAAGTAGCTGCTTAATAAATGTTGGATTAAGATGGAAGTGTATCAGTGACGGGTAGAACAACACTCCATATGAGGTCAGAGAGGGAAGGTTCTTATCTAACTAGCCCATGGGAAGACTCGATAGAGTAACAAAACCACTGGTTTTGAGTCTTCTTGAAGAGATGAAGATATGGGGATGAATTCCCAGCCTTGCCACTTGATACTCTTGTGATCTGACTGTGGGAAAGTCGCTTAACCGCTCTGTGCCTCAGTTTCCCCATCTGTAAAATACAGGGGTTGGGCTAGATGGTTTCTAGAGTCCCTTTTATCTCCAGACCTTATAAGAAATGGCTGTCATATGATAGGCAAAGAATAGATTAGTTAATGCCAAGATGCCATATTGTACATTTTTTGCTACATTGGGAGCATCTTGGACCACACATCATGGGAGAGAGAGCACCAGACTTGGAGAAAGAAGACTGTGTGCTAGCTCTGACATTTACTAGCTCTTGGGATCTTTGATACATCTGTACCTCTTTCGGGCTTCTTTTCTTCATCTGTAGAATGGGACTGATAATAATAATAATAATAATAATAATAAATAATAGTTGGCATTTTTATAGTGCTTTAAGCTTTCCAAAGTGCTTTACGTGTATTATTTAACCCTCACAACAACCCTAGGAGGTAATTGCTGTCATTGTCCTCATTTTACAGATGAGGAACTGTGACTTGCCCAGGGGCACATGGCTAAGAAGTGTCTAAGGCAGGATTCAAACTCAGATCTTTCTGCCTCCAGGTCCACTGAGCCACCTGGCTGCCTATAATATTTGTCCTAGCTACCTCATAGATTCTTTGTGTGTGTGTGTGAGGAAAGCATCTTATAAGGTACTAGGTAAATGCTTTGATGGTTTCCCTCTCCACTGATGCAGGGGACAATTGGGTAGTACAAAGTTGTCATGAGCTACTGTAGCCAGGTATGTCTCTTCCTTACCAGGCCATCCTTTCTGTGATAAACCTCTTCAAATAGTTCCTCTCTTTCTATCTGGGACCATGCTGGAAATCTTTCCAACTTTCTAAGACCAGTTGAATTTATGCTGCACTGGCTTAGCTTTTGAGAAACCAAGGTCACTTGTGTGCCATGCCAAAGCTGATGAGCTTTTCTCAGTCCTGGGTCTTCTTGACCTCTCTGTAGCCCTTGGAACATTCCCTCCTGGACACTGCTCACTAGGTTTTTGAGACACTGTTCTGGTCCTCTTCCTATCTGACTTCTCCTTAGTCTTCTTTACTGATTCTTCATCTACTGTTCTATCTTAGGTGTTCCCTAAGGCTCTGTTCTACGCCGTCTTTTTTTTTTCTCCCTCTCTGATGTCTTGCTTGGTGACTTTATCACCCGTCATAGGTTCAAGGGTCGTATCTATGCAGATAATGCCCAGACCTAGGCCTGGTCTCTCACTTGAACTATGGTTGTGCCTTTTAGACATCTGGATCTACTCCAAACTCAACGTATCAACAACAGAACACGTTATCTTCCCTCCCCCAACCTTTCTCTCTATTGAATTTCCCTATTACTGTTGAGGGTACTACTATCCTTACCTTCATCCAGGCTTGTAATCTTGGTTTTATCCTCTATTCCTCAGTCACTCCCCCCACCCCCATATCCAGCCCATTGCTGTTTCTATCATAACAACATCTTTCACATCTATCTTTTCTCCACTCCCACAGTCACAACCCTAGTTCAGGTCCTTGTCACCTTTCCTCTGGATTACTGCAATAGCCTAATTGGTCTGTCTGCCTCATGTTTCTCTCCTCTCCAATTCATCTTCCATCCAGCTTCCAAGATGATTTTTTTCTGGGTCTGACCATTTCACACCCCTGCTCGGCGAGCTCCAATAGCTGCCTATCACCTCTGCGATCAAATATAAATTATTTTATTTGTCATTTAAAGCTATTTATAATATGGCCCCTTCCTGTCTTACAGGGCTTCTTACACTTAGCTCTCTTGCACACACTTTACATTCCAGATATACTGGCCTACCTGTAGTTCCTCAAACAGAACTCCAGCTCCCATCTCTGTGTCTTTGCACTGGTTGTCTGCCAAGGCTAGAATACTGTCCCCTCCCCTCAGCCTCCGCCGCAAGCGGCCTTTTCCATCCCTCCGCCTGTGTTTTTTTCTGAGTAATTTAATGATTGCATTAATAAGGCCAGCAGGTTATTAATAAAAGGATAGCCATTTGGCTGTCTCTCTTAGACCAAAGACAGTCATGGCATTGGGGCTCACAGTTTATGTACCCTTTGGTAGTTAATCAGGAGCTGAGAGGGACCCTTGGACAGAGAAATGATCTTTACTCAGACCACCAGAAGCCTTGGGCTATCTAGGCAAAAGGCTCTGTCTCCACCCAAGCTTGAGTAGCACCAGTGCATCCCTTCACCTGTTAATGCCTTTCCCTCTCACACTGCTTTTCATCTGCTCTTTGTATATCATCTTGTTGCAGGTCAGGGCCAGTGTTTCTTCCTTTCTTTGTATCGTCAGCACTTAGCACAATGCCTGGCACAGAGTAAACACTTGATAAGTGCTTGCTGATTGATGGATAGGTAAAGCATCCAAGAAGGACTTTGGTGGAGGGGCTGGTATATATTACTGTATTGTCCTTGTTATTTTCTTAGTCTCAAGATTCTCACACTTGGTAGCTTGTCACATGTGTGCCTGTAAGTTTGTGACTTTTTCTTTAGTCATTGATGAAGTCCTTTTGACTATCCAAAAGGTTTGTCTCAGGTACACATAAGTGAAGGTAAGGGGGCACCCATGCCAAGGCCAGGGGGCCCTTGGGAGCATTTAGAATCTCAAGGAGTCAGTCAGGCAAGGGCTAGGGAAAGTGTAGAGAAATAGAAAGGCCAGCAGACTCCTCCAATTGAAGGCATAGGCCTGGTTGAAGTGCCAGAGAAAGGAAGAACAAAATCCCAGGTGAGGCAAGGGTAATGAAATCTAGCTTTCTTACCCCTTTCTTGAGATTGTTTCTGGAACACTTTGCTTATTTTCTGTTTCTATGTCCATACTCTACTTTGTGTTATGATTATTTGTATACATGCCTCATCACCTCTGCTGGACCATTAATCCCAGGAGAGCAGGGACCCTGTCTTCTACATCCTTGTTTCCCAGTCCATGACTAGTCCAGCACAAAGCACCTCCTCAGTAGGAGCTCAGAAGAGCTCCAGGAGTCCTCCAGACCATTATACCCCTGGCCATTCCTCTCTCCTCCCCTGCTACTACTCACGTAGGATGTTGCAGTGGCACCTCGAGCACAAGTTCTGGGGGCAGAGGGAAGAGTTCAGGTGGCTCATCCGGGGCCTGGAGCAGCAGTGGGAGCACATCAAAGCGTCCATCCCCTGGGGTCCAGCCATGCTGGATACAGAGCTGAGGGGAGAGGCTCCAGAGAATGACCCTACCCTGCCTCAGTGACTGCAACATCAATCATCCCACACTGCCCACTTTAGTAACCTTCATGGCCAAGTACCCCTTTCCCTCACCTCAGTGATCCCCACAATGGCTACCATGCCTCCCCTATTTTAGTGTTCTCCATGTCATCCCTTATTCCCCACCTTGCTGATACAAGGATCACCCTATTTCTTTCACTTCAATGATCCCTACAATGGCTCCCTATCTCCTCTAATGTAGTGATCCCCATATTGGCCACGCACCTCATCTTCTGCCTCAGTGACCTCCATACTAGCGGTCCCACATCCTTCACCTCAGTGATCTCCACAGTGGGCATCCTCTCCTCCATTTCATTTTGGCCAGGTCTCTGACCTCATCATCTGCCTCAGTGATCTCCATGGTGGGCACCCCTCCCCCTTCTCCATTTTATGTTGGCCAGGTCCTTGACCCCATCACCCACCTCAGTGATCTCCACATTGGCTGGGTCCCCTAAGACAGAGCCATCTTGCTGCCTGTAGCCTGCATAGCGGATCAGCTGACTGTTCCAGATACGGAAATCTCCCTTGCCCAGGGAGCGCTGTGGGAACACTGTGATAGCTGAGCTAGGGAAGAAAGTGACATGAGACTTTCCCATATACACTCTGTGCTCATACTCCTATACAAACCTGCTGAAGGGCTTTGAGGAAAGGCTGGGGTTGATAATGATAGGGGGCAAAAGAAGTGGAGAAGGTCCCTGGTGTATGGTATGGGAGGAGACAGGGTTGTAACTTGGAATTCTTTTACCTCAGGCCAAATTTAATTGGGAGGGGGATGAGGTATGGTACTAGCCCCAGGCCAGTCTGACCACACACATTGTTACACTATGTACCTAGAAGAGGTACATAGCAAGAGGATTCTGGGAGTGGTAACTCAGAGGCAATATCAATTTGTGGTGGTTTAGGGAGGCCCAGGGATCATGGGTATCACAAGGAGGAAGTATATCCTTCTCTACCTTGCCATGCAGGCACCCTGGGGCAAAGCCCCAGTGATCTTATGCTAGTTGAGGCTCTGGTGTAGGAGGAGTCTCAGTTTGGGCTGCACTGGGTCTCAGAGTGGAGTGTTGTGGTTGAGGGAAGAACGTCTGATGGTCATTAGGGATAGAATGAGTTAGCATATCAAATCCAGGAATGGGAAGGGTGTGAGTAGGTGGTAGGGCAGTTCTCAGTATTGAGTGGGGGATCCACTCACCGAAGGTTGCCTTTGTTGGTGGCGTACTTGATGTGATTGCAGATGCAGGTGAACATCTCTTGAGCAGAGCTGCAATCTCGGGCATCAAAGACCTGGAGTGGTGGGATAGAGTCAGGGTGTCGGAACCCGTAACAAAAACAATAATGGGCTGTATTTATAGTTTGTGTTTCGTGGTTTTCAGGGGTCGGAGGCAAGAGAAATGGACTTGGAATCAGAAGGCCCAGGTTATTTTTCAGTCTGAATCCTCCCTCATTATAGCTGTGTGAATGGTGAAGCCCCAGGAGCTCACTAATACTTAGCCTCAGTCTCCTAATCAGTAAAATGGTAATAATAATATCTTCACTATTTATCTCAGAGGTTTGTTGTAAGGAAGGTGCTTTGTAAATCTTCCATTACTGCAGAAATTTTAGCTCTTCTTAGCTCACTTATCTTCATAACAACCCTCTGAAATAGGTAGTATAAAGATTATGCCCATTTTACAGATGAAGAAATGGAGGAACAGAGAGTTTAATTTTTTTGTCCAAGGTCATATACAGCAGGTAAATGTCAGAGCCAGGACTAAAAGCCAGGACTTAAAGCCAGTGTCCTTCATTACATCACAGCTGCCTCTCAACATTGATACCTCATGAGTAATAGTCCTTAGTTCTCCCTCCATGAGCTGAATGTGAGGGCACATTTCCCTGGGCAAGTAGACTGTTTTCTCATCTGTAAAATGAGCATAGTCATAGCACCTACCTCACCACCTACCTCACCGGGTCGCAAAGATCAATGGAGATAACATATGCAAAGCACTTTGTAAGACTTAAGGTGCTATCTAAATGCTAAGTAGTTTTCTTATTATTTTTATTCTCTTTGGGTATGAAGGCTATCACATCTCCTGAGAGTAGCCTCCCCACCTTGGTAAACAGTGAGAAAGAAAGAGGGCAGTTCTTTTCCCAGAAGCCTTCTCTTGATTAACTTTATTAAGATGACCTCTCCTTGATTATCCTTAGCTACACAGTCTCTGTTATAATAGCTTATAAGATTATTTATAGGATCAGAGAGTTACAGCTGGAAGGGACCTTAAGGATCACCTCATCTAACCCCCTTCTCTTATTTTACAGGTAATATGACTGAGGCCCAGGAATTGGCTTACTCAGGGTTACATAGCTAGTGAGTAAATGGCAGAATTGGGGATCTCCATTCGGTGCTGCCTTCCCTCCACCTTGTTGTTCATCTCGTGCTTCTCCTGGTGCTTTCCACAGCCAGGCACTTCACAAATGGTAAATGGATTGCACTGGATGTTGCCTTGTAAGGGGTTAGAGCTTGGTGTCTGTTTATCTTAATTGTTAAGTGTTCCCTACTCAACCCTTCCACCAATGGCAACTAGAAGAGGACTGAATGGACAGTGTTGACTAGTGGGCCGAGGGCCATAAAAGATGAGATCTTGGTGACAGCCTGATTGTGCCTCTCCAGTAATTCCCATTGGGCAGAAAGACAAGTCACCTCCCAGCAGGCCAAAGAATGTTTCTTCTTTTTCCACCCCACTGCCACCCCTTACCCTTTTTCCTGGATGCCTGGCTTATTCCTTGGAAGTTAATTTCTTTCCATCCTTCATACCCTCACCTGCAGCTTCCCCCACTGTATCCTGCCCACACATCGTGGGGCATTTCTCCAGGCCTGCTTAGCCCCAAACACAAGCTCACTCTCCCGGAGTTGGTAGGTGCCTGTGGCTGCCACCTCGGCCTCCACTTCCCGAAGCCGTTGTCCGTGGGCTGGGGAGCCACTCCTGTAGAAAGAAGGTAGGGAAAACCGTGGTGGGGAGAAAGGTTGAAGGAAGGGGCCCCAAGGCTGCTTGATTTCACTGTTGGAAGCTGGGGAGACAGTGCTGGAGGGGAGCTGTGTGTATGTGTGGTCGGAATTTCTGGCCTTATGATTGGGAGGTCATGCTGATTGGAGGGATTAAAGAAAGAGAGTCCCTAAAGGGTCTGAGAGGTGGGGGGTGGGAACAGGAAGAAATCAAAGCCCCCACCTGAGGAATCTTAGTGGGCTGGTTTCATAGGATCTCGAGCAGGCTAGCCCCTCAGAGATCATAGACAACAGCTCCCTCATTTTGGAGATGAAGAAGCTGGAGTCCAAGATTACATAAATAGGTAAGAACAAAGACAAGTTTGAAGCCTGGGTCTGAGATTCTGAATCCATGCTCTTTCTAGAAAGACAGCTAGCTGGTACAGTGGTGGATAGAGTACTGGGCTTGGGGTAAGGAAGACTTGAGTTCAAATTTGGCCACTTGTGTGACCCTGGGCAAGTCACTTAACTTCTGTTTGCCTCAGTTTCCTCAACTGTAAAATGGGAATAATGATTGGATCTATCTCCCAGGGTTGTTGTAAGGAGAAAATGGGATAGTGTTTGTAAATCACTTAACACAATGAGCAGTCACTTAATAAATACTTGTTTCCTTCCTTTCTATTACACTGCGCTATTTTTTTTATAATGAGGTCATTCTGGTGGATAGAATTTGAAGCAGCTTGGCATCTAGGGGTTTCAGAAGAGAGGGCGCAAAGGGGATAGGTTGGGGGGGATTCTGGTTCTCACCTTTTGATAGAGCTGTAATATTGGTTAATGAAATCTCGGGCCTGGATGAGTAGCTGGCCAGGGGACAGGGGCCCCTCTGTGGGGCGGCTTTGAAGTTGCCTTGGAAACACAAGGGAGCCCAGGCAGCGTCTTGGGGTACAGGGCCCATCCTGGTGGTGAGAACATGATGAGTCAGAAACTAAGTAAGAGAAAGGTGGTGGGTCTGGCGGGATTGTGCAGGGAGGAGAGTTGGGTTCAAGAGTTTGAGGTGGATATGGGAGGTTTGATGGGGCTGTGGGAATTAGTTAGAGCATTTGGTGTCAGGATTGGAGTCAGAGGGAGGAGTCAAGTTAGGGCTAAAACACCGCTGAGGCTAAAGTTAAGGTTTGAGCGCTCTCTATTCAGTCTCTTGTGTTTCTAAAACACATCTTTTTCCTAGGTACTTTTGCATCTATTGATTTTCTTTGTTGTTTCTTCCCAGCCATCTACAGAACTTGTTGCATGTCCTGCTGGACATTATCCACATCCTCTTCCCACCAGAACCTTGGACTCTTATTCTGTGCTGCCAGGCTGTGATAGTTGAACTTTTACCTCATCTTGGCCAGAATTGTGCCTGTATTCCACTTTCTGGCCATGTCCACGCCTTGTCACCCCCTTCTTTTCATGCCTGTCCTCACTTTCCTACTTTAGTCTCAATTTTTGTCTTCTTCCATTAAAATATAAGCTCCTCAAGGACAACGATGATTTTGCTTACCTGTACTTGTATCCCCAGCCTTAGCACTGTGTCTGGCACATAGTAAATGCTTAATGAATGCCCTGTCTGTCTACCATCTATCTATCTATCTATCTATCTATCTATCTATCTATCTATCTATCTATCTATCTATCCATCTATCTGTCTGTCTGTCTGTCTGTCTCTCTCTCTCTATCCATCCATCTATCCATCTGTCTGTCTGTTCATCTATCCATGCCCACATGAGTTAGGTGGGGACAATAATTATTATCTCTATTTGACAGGCAATTTGAACCAGCCAGTCACTTTGCAGAACTGGATCTAGAAGTCTCACATCTTATGACTCATAGTCCAGCATTCTCTCCCTTATGTAGTTTGAAGGGTTGAGGTATTGACAGGGAGTGGTGAGTGGGGTGTTTGGGATTAGTGTTGGGTTTGGGAATCTGAGTCCTATGTGAGGGAAGAAAGGTTGGGAGGTACCGGGGGCTACTTTCTAAATGGTCCCCTTTGTAAAATATGAAAGGCCTCCTAGTAAATGGTTTTCTACTTTCAGGAGGAAAAGAGCAAGGCAGGAAGAGGGGGAAGTTCTGAGGAGCTTACCTGCTGTGCTTGGGCACTCAGGGTGTCATACGTGATGCTTCCTACTTCCCAGTTCTTTATCCTTGAGAATTTGGGTCCCTCGGGTGGCCGGGCTACCGGAGGGCTGTTAAGGAGTCAAGGATGGAGTCATGGGTATCGTGGACTTCTCTCAACTTTCTCAAAGATCTCTCCCTAGGACTAGAGCTATAACTAGAGTGGGGCAACTGGAGCTTTGTCCCAGGGCACTGAGGATAGCTGACAAGGGACATGAATCCTCCTGAAGAGGTGCTTGAAATTGTCTGAATGTTTCAATGAGCCCTGGTCCATTACCCTCAAGGTTCCTGTTCCGTGTTGCCCCTTTCTCAATGTCTGCCTTCCCCCCTGGTCATACTCCCAACTGGCACCTCTGGAGTTATCTTTGGCTGTGTCCCAGGGACTCAAGCTGGACTTTCTGGGTAAAAGGCTTCTCCTTTTCTCTGCTTAATTGCATCCCAAATGGGGAGAACTGTCTCTTCCTGCCTCCCTCTGACCTCATTTTACCCTAGGTACCAGAAATCCTAATTATAGCTTTGCCTAGGACCCTCTCAATTTAAGGTCAAGTCTTGGACAGATCTGAAGCTGAAAATTCTGAGTTCTGCCTCACCCACAATATCCTCTGCAGAGTTTTGTTTGCATGGCCCTACAATCCTATTACTTCTCACTAGGAACTAGTCCCAGTGCCCAGGGATGAACAAAAACTTCAGTGGGGACTGGATGGAGCTCCTTGTTGTGCTATCTTCAGTTAGGATTCTTCAGCCCAGATTTGCCAGATTCCTGCTTGGACCCCTTCCTCATCAGGGGCTGCTAAGGGCTCGTTTAGGACTGGAGATCGTGTGAAGGGAAGCCTCTAGAGCGTTATCATTTCCTCCCAGAGCTGCCACGGTGGGGGAGGAAGGGAGGGGGCCCAGGCAGTGCTGGGCTGCACCTTCGGATCAGGGATGACCTGTACCCCTGTGTCTCAGTCCCATTGCTCCTTTGCCTCCAACTCCCCATTTTTGCTCCTCCTCCCCACTATCACTGATTTATTTTCCAGTGATGGAACTAAGGGCTGCTAATACAGATAGGACTAATCTGGGGTCTGAGGATAGATTCCAGGTGGGTCTGTGAACCTGGATGGGAAAAAAAATTATCTGTATTTTCACCAACCTCTAGGTTAAAATTGAACATTTCCTTCAATTATTTAAAAGCGTTATTCTAAGATAGGGTCTACAGGTTTTACCAGACTGCTAAAGAGGTCCATGCTACAAGAATGGTTAAGAACCCTTAGATTAGAGAATTGGGTCTGGAAGTCTCCCGTGGCCAAATCAGGGTTTCCTGCCCTAGAACAATCACCTTAGAAGAGACTAGAGAAAGTAATTGTCAAGTATATTTTCTGGGGAGGAGGACAGCTGGGTAAGTGGACAGGGTCTTGCTTGCTGATGGAGAGAGTGGAAGAGAAGTGTGCTCCAACCCCCATCAATTTACCGTCTGTACTAACTTAGCTCCCTGACCTCTCTCCTTCTCTCCTTAACAGATTTTGGAAATCCCTCGACTCCTTCCTAGCCTCTCTGCTGACTTCCTAATCTCTCCTCAGCACTTGGTACTCTCTTTTTGTAGTATTCATCCCTTTGGATATTATAAAACCCTTACTCTTTCCCTCACCTGTTTTCCAGCCTTCCTGGCCTTCCCATTCATGAGCATATTAGCTTCTCTTGTCCTTGAGCCAGAGTATGTCCCTGCCAGAGTAGCTCCCATATTCCTGGCACCTCCAGCCCAATAGTGGTCCCTTGTAACCCTCGTACAGCTCCCCAAAACCATATTGCACATGGCCCTCACCTGATGTCAGCCACCGGTGGACCCCCATTCTCTGGTCCTGGCGTCCCACTCTGTTTGCTGCACAGTCCCAGCCCCAGGCCCAGGCCCAGTCCGCAGGGCGGGCCAGGCTCCTGACCCACACTCTTCAAATTGCCCATGTTGGCTGCTCGGCGACTAGGCAGCTCTGAACTAAGGACCGGCCTTTTCCTTAGGAAACAGGGAGGGGAGGGGACTGGCCTGGGGGGGAACTGGAGGTTGGCAGCTGGGCCCTTGCCCCACCCCCTGCCCCCATACACAATGGGACAGGAACAGCTCAGCTGGGAGGCAGTAAAAGCCACAGGCCCCACACCCTCTGCGAGGGGTGGGGGACCCGGACACTGAGGTTCCGTTTGGAGCCTGTAAGCCTTGGTGGCTGATAAGTGGGACCAGGTGTCCTGGCCTTGGGAACTGGAACAAGGACTCTGGTGATGTGTTGCGGTGGTGCTGGTGGGGGATGGTGTCGAGCACAGTGGGGGGTCAATTCTAGGATCCAGGGACGTAAAGATAGACTTAGTTCCAGAATAGGAATCAGATAGCCAAGTTCCTGACCTTGAACATGGAAATCAAGTTTTGACATAAGCTTAGGAACATAGGGTTGAAAAATTCAGGAGGAAACTTGAAGATAGTCTAATCTAACACCCTGAATTTACTGAAACCCAGAATGGTTAAGTAATATAGCCAAAATCATACATGTAGAAGCAGTATGAGGACTGAACTCCAGAGCCAAGATTTGGTTCACTACCCTATATTTGTCCCTTCATGTGTATCTTACTTTTTTTGTTTAAGCCCTGATGAAACAGAGGGTCAAAGATGTTGTCTGAGCATGAGAGTCAGCAGCAAGTAAAATAGAATGAGGGTGATGGTAAGGACTCGAGATCAGGGATCATTATCTTTACTGCCTTGCTCAAACTTACGATTTTATGGGCTTCAGGAACCTGGGGCTGTAGCATTATGGAAGCTCAAGGGTCCTTGACTCAGTCTGGGGCCATAGAATCATTCAAGGATATTGCCCCTTGAATTGGAAACCCGACCTTCCCTTCCCAGCCCCAATTTCCTGGCACTCCCCCCTTTTACCTCCTGTGAATCAAGGTGGGGATACAAAGAAGCAGGAAGCTTCCTCTACACCACCACCCCGTCAGCCTGTGACGCATGTGGTCTCAAGGGAGCAGAAGGTCAGCAGATAGAGGCAAGAGTGGGATGAGTTGGAAACTGCCCATTGGGGAAGACCTAAAATCCCTTTAATAGTGGTGGAAACATGATGATATGGTTAGACTATACTTCCCAGAATACATAGTGGCCCATAGGAGATATCTTGATGCTTCCCAGGTAACACAGCATGCAGGGACTTGTAGTTCTGGGGTCATCTTAGTCCTTGGAGTTGGAGAACAGATTTGTGCAAGTGAGATTTAGAGGGCAGAGTCTATTTTGTTCTTTGAGCATGTGGTTTCAGTTGATAGATGAGAGAGAGAGAGAGATAAAGAGAGACAGACAGGCAGGCAGACAGAAACAGAGAGAGACACAGAGAGACACAGAGAGACAGTCAGACAGACAGAGACAGAGAGAAAGAGAGAGAGAGACAGAGAGAGAGAGAGATAAGAAAAGATGTGGAAAAAGAGATTTTAGTCTGGGAGAGGGAAAGACAGAATCAGACAGGCAGGAACTGAAACATTTTTATTGGATGCAATGTTGAAAATCAGTGGAGGTCAAAGAGTAGGAAGAGTGATGTGGTGAACTATAGGTAGGTAAACTTAAGGGGACATCAGCTTTCAAGATTTTTATTTATTTTCATTCTGAACGTGATAAACACCGAATAATATGAGCATTCCTATATGCAAAGGAAAACAGAAAAAGAATTGTAAATGAAACTACACATGTCAAATCGCATGTAGTTTGCTTTTCCTTTTAAGCATATAATGAATTAGACGTGTAACTTTCTTTTTTAAATTTAAATTTATTTTGTTCAGTTAACAAAAATCTATTTTCTCTCCCTTCCACCTCTCTTTTCCTTACTCCTTGAGGGAAAAAAAATGCAACTCATAAAAAATATGCATTGTCAAGCAAAACAAATTTCCATTTAGCCATATCCAAATATGTGTCTCCTTCTGTACCCTGGGTCCATCACTTCCCTGCCATGAGGTGGCTAGCATCCTACAAAAGTTTTGTCCATATGGGCCCCTTTCCTCTTTCTTTGATCTCTTGGGAGTATAGGCCTAGCAGGAGTATTCCTGCATCAAAGGGAATACACAGTTGAGTAATCTTTGGAGAATAGTTCCAAAATGCTTTCCAGGAGAACTGGAACAATTCAAACTTGTAGCTTTCAAAGCTGTCCCGCATGTCTGTATTTCCTTCTAGATTTCTATTCTTTTCTGTATATTTTAAAAAGTTTGAGTGACTTTTTTTCTTTCTTCTCTTTTTCTTTTTTTGGTATCTCTATTCCCTACCTTTCACCCAAACCCCATGAGAAAAAAAAAAAAAGAAAAATAAACCCCCTGAAACAAATATGCAGAATTAAATAGTACAAATATTCACATTGGCCATGGCTAAAAATGCATGTCTTATTCGGCACCTTGAGTCCATCACCTCTCAGTTAGGAGGGGAGTAGAATGCTTCGTCATTGTTCCTTTGGAATCGTGTTTAGCCAACTTGAAGGAGAGGGCTAATCTGGGGGTGTTAAAACTGAAAGGGACAGTAGCAAGGGACAGTTGGATTTGGTGTTAAGTCAAGAGGGTGGAGGGGAATGTCTGCAGAATATCAATTCAGAGTAATATAGTGCCCCAAGATTTAGAGGGCTCTAGATTCACGTCATAATTATTAAATATGTGCCCAAGTGGTGCAGTACATAGAATGTTGTACCTGGAATCAGGGAGATCAGATCTTGAATTCTGTCTCAAACACTTACTAGCTGTGTGACCCTAAGTAAGTCACTTAACCTCTATGGGGATAATAACTACTCCACCAGGATTATTTTGAGGATCAAATGGGATAACATATGGAAGGAGCTTTGAAAACTTTAAAGTGCTACATATATGTTAGTCATTATTATAATAATAATTATTATTAATATTCTCATTTATAAGTGAGAAAATGAGATCCCAGGAGGGATCTCCATCCAAAGCCATCTTTCATGTCAAAGAAGAAAAAAGAAAGAAGAAAAAAAAAGCAAACCAGACAAGGCATAGGATCAGATCTCTGGAGCTGGAAAGGATATCCATTCTCTTTTCCACCCACTCTCTGTCTCTCCCCCCACCCCACCATTTTATAGAAGAAGAATCATCAGTGAAGAAACATACTGTGCCTGACAGTATATTCAATATTCCAAATCTTTAGTACCCCACCTCTGCAATGAAGTGAGGGAGGTGCATTTTCTCAGCTCCGCGCGTGGGGCCAAGTTTTAACCAGGATGTTCTGTGACATTCTGCCTTTAAGAGAGATAAGCCATTGCCAAGAAAAGGAGCTTGTATGGGTTGTATATTTTGTTTAAAGCGCAAAACACAACAGAGACTTGTTCAGGGTTCAGTACACATTCATGCCCACAGCTTCCCCATCTTCCGTTACAGTCCCCTTCTATGAGTGTTGATGTTCTGAACCATGGTGGCGTAGGAGTTCTGGCCATAATGAGTCATTGCACCAAAGCCACAGGACTCTGCTTCAGGAGTGAAGCAAAAAGGATTGTCTTCTGTGAACTAACTTTGGGGATAAAAGAGGTGTCAGGTCAGATGGTCTTTGTTTCTAGGCAATGTGAAGTGCTTTAGTGGTAGGGGGATTGCTCTTTCTGGATTCCCACTCACTCATCCCTCAACTTTGGAAGGAGGAAGAAGTACTTAATTAGCTCATTGAAATAAGAATGTGTGAATTGAATGTCCAAATAGTCCACCTTATACTAAAAAGGCTTCTTGATTCCCTCAGAGTGAGCCTGTGATCATAGAACTGATGAATGAAGTGGG